CGTCACGTGTTGAGGTCAGCAGCACACCATCCCCACCATAAACAGTGTTGGTGCTGCACTGCTTCCCCCTCCTGAGACGCCGGATGGGATGGTGGACCAGAATCGCCTTGAAGCCGTGCGGAAGTCTTTCTCCATGGCCTCTCCAAACTCCTCCCACGCCCGGGTTTTTGCCTCAGCGACCACCCGAGCCGCATGCCGCTTCGCCTGCCGGTACCCATCAGCTGCTTCTGGAGTCCCGTAGGCCAGAAAGGCCCGATAGGAAACACTTTTTATTTGGTTTTTTTACCTTTATAAAATTATATTATCTAATTGTTTAACCTKAAATGCATTTCAAGTGTTTTGTCAAAAAAAAAKAKACATCTAAAATCAATAACTGTGAAACAATCTCCATCTTCTTATCTGTTGTTGGGTTGCAGAGGCAACAGGTTTTTGAGYGAAACCCAGACATCCCTTGCCCCAGCGACACTTAGTTTGCCCTGGAGGACCTGGAGGCATWCCCAGTCCAGAGAATACATAATCCCTCCAGAGAGTCCTGGGTCTTCCCRGGGACCTCCTACTGATGGGACGTGCCCGGAAAAAAATCCCTAAAAGAAGGCATCCTATACCGAACCACCTCAACTGACTCCTTTCAATGCACAGGAGCGGTGGCTCTACTCCGAGCCCCGCCTCAAATGACACTCCTTATATCTGAGCCCAGCCACCCCAAGCTCATTTTAGCTGCTTGTATTCAGGATCTTGTTCTTTCGGTCATGATCCAAACTGCATGACCATAAGTGAGGGCTGGGATGTAGACAGGCCAGTAAATCAAGAGTTTTGCRTTTCAATTGAATTATTTCTTCACTGCAACTGACTGAAGCAACACCCTCATTACTGAGAACGAGGCCCCAAACTGTTGAGCCATCTCCCGCTCCATACCATCACYTGTGAATAAGACACCCAAATATAAACTTCTCTGAGACAGTTGTCTTTAATTTGAATTTGTTGTATTTGTACATTTATAAAAAAAAACACTAAATAAACGTAATTTACTATCAAAATCAACAGTATATTTTGTTATAAATGGGTCAGCAGTCATGTTGTTGCCAACAATAACAAAACATTTTGTTGACGAGGACACTTCGGTCAGTTTTGGTGAAGGATATTGTTTTTGTAAAATAATCTTTAGATGTGAACAGAGTRAGAATCAGAGACGATGGATAATAAACAAAGCAACTCTTCTGAAAAGAAACAGCTATAAGCAGTGAGGACTTSAGCCAAAGGAAGTGAAGTCAATTTGGGGTGGAAATCCAACAARGGAGAGCATTYTTAWARCAAAYGTTTAGACTGTTYTTCTGAACTRTAATGGGAGAATTTTTKCTGAACTTATCATTAAATTCACTGGAAAGGTTATTGATGTATAAATTGTGTTAATGCTGCAGTGTTGGGTCCTGTTATGGAATGCCTTGCCTTTGCACAATAGCTGCCTTTAAATTTTCACTTAAAACCCACACAGGGGTGGCCAGGAAAATTACATAACTTTTGACTTGAAAGTTTCTGCATATATTTATGTTTTTGTCATTTCCTTATGTCCTTATACAGGCAGTGACTGCTTTAGAAACATCGGCATCAGAAGATTTTGAAAGTGGGGAGACAGACTGTTGGGGGGGTCTGGGGGTCCTCCCCCAGAAAACTTTGAACGAAATAGATGCCATTTCCTGCATTCTGGTGTATTTTACCAGGTTGTTTTTTTACTTACATAAATAAACACAATTTAAATATTATTTCAGAGACAGATTCTTCATTAATCTGGTTCCATCATCCTGTTTTTAAACTCACTGCTTTGGCTGAGATAAGGTTAATTAATGTGACACAATTTATCATATCCAATGACTTTAGGGGTGCCTTTTACTTTTATATTGTTTATTTATTTTTAATTGTAACACACGCCATTGTGCCAAACAATGATGACCCTCATCTGCATGTTTAAAACTAACATWAATAATTTTACCCAATGAACATGTGCAATTTTGATAACAACCAACATTGAATTTAGAGGGGTGTTTCACTTTTTCTGATTTAGTGATAGGTCTACTTATAACCAAACACAGAGCATCATGCAGCCTTCAGAACATAAAATGAAAAAAATAAAATAAAATAAAAAACATTTATCACCATAAGTCCAAAAGTAAGATTAAATGGGCATATGTTCTGTATATAAAGAAAACAATAACTTATTTGAGCTTGGTAATGTTTCAAACAGTTAAACACTGCCACCAATTGTTCGGGAGGATTATTACAGCCCTAAAGGTTGTTTCACTGTGTAAGGGGTGTGTGCAGCAGGGTGGCCTAAGATTTGTCTGTGGTGGCCCTGGCCACCCCTGGCCACCCCATGGCTCCGCCCCTGTTAAAATCCACTTTTATTTGAAGGCTTTRATATCTTGGGATGTTGATTTTGATGTATTATAAATCATTTTTACTGTATTTTATTGTACAACATTTTGTTCCTTTGGAGACATTTACAAGGGCTTTATAAATAGCTAAACCTTTGATAGAATATTCAAAATTTTAATTTTCATATYTTCACAGCTACTAGGGATTTAAATTCATGAAATAAACTTTTCTTGCTTCAATAAGTTTTCCCACCCTGCTGGAGCCTCATGATGCCATCACCCCTGTGCCACTTTAGGGGGAAAAAACCCTCTTGTTCCGCCCCTGAACCTCACTTCCACTGGCGGTCCAGCGCGTCACGACGAGCCGTGACGCGGTCCACGGGTCCACGCAGACCGTGGCAGGTCATGGGGGGCGTGGAGGGTCAATGGATGCTGCCCCGAGAGCGTGCCGACTTATTGGACACGTGCTGTTGCTAGGGGCGTGGGCTCGTTCCGTTAAACTGATGCTATAGTTTTCCCTAAAGCTCCAGCAGAACGCGGATCCGAGCAGCGCCGAGACTCGGACTGATCCGGGACTGATCCGACCCGTGCCGCAGAGAGTCTAATCTGATCAGCGCCTCTCTGATCCAGAGACAACGCGCTGATGTCACACTCGTGGGATTCAGAGTGCGGGATGGTGACGGAGAGTGTTTCCAGGGGATGATCGCTGCTGCGCACTTTCCCGTCCCGTGATGGAGCGGCTGCCTCGGTGCGAACAGCCTGGCCTGCAGGCCGGTCACCTGGCGGCCGAGTAGATTTTGGAAGCGGGAAGTGATCGGAGGAAAGTGTTTTTGTGAAGCTCGCACTGACAATGACATCAGGCTGAACTGCGCTGTGCTGCAGCGGAGGTGGACCGCGCTATGCTCGCCTCCTGCGCCCGGAGCTGCTGGACGCTTTCAGGAGATGAGCTGCACAGGCTGAAGGCACCGGGCCAAACACTCCGAGCCGGAGAACTGCGTCACCGCGCGTGTTGCAGGTAGGCTGGGAACTCTCCCACTTCCCCGACCTGGAGAGGAGTCACCCTCCCCCGCCTCCTCCCTGCGCTATGAAGGTTTAACTCTTTTACCGGGGATGAATTCTGCAGACAACTCGAGCAAAGATCCGCCGCTGGGATCCACCTATTCCTCAGCGCCCGACCTGGACTCGGACATTAACGCGAACGCCTGCAGGTGCGTGTTCGAGAATGGCACGGACTACAACATCAACATCCAGAACGCGGCGCTCCGCGGGGCCAGCGACCCCAGCATTTACACCTCCACGGACCACCAGGGCCTGGTCCGGAGGAGGTTCGTGCGCAGGAGCCTGTGGGTGGCGGACCACGAGGAGCAGCCCGCGGACGCGCCGGAGTTCATCGTCAACAGCATCCCGGTGGTCAGCATCGACCTGCGGACCATAGTTGACCGGAGCCGGGCCCGGGCTCTGCAGGGGGCCCTCCTCCAAGAGACCTCCAGCACCGAGAGCCAGGTGGGCCTGAAGGACAGCGCCACGGAGAGCGCGAGCGCGGACGAGGGGAAGGGGGACAGGAGCGAAAACGAGCCCAAGAGGGCAGAGGTGGGGCCCTCAGACGTCACAGGTAAAGCAGGAAGTGACGAGAACGAAGAAGAACCCGGGATGAAGGCGGTGTCCACCTCACCTGGGGGGCGTTTCCTCAAGTTTGACATTGAGCTGGGGAGAGGGTCCTTCAAGACCGTCTACAAGGGTCTGGACACTGAAACGTGGGTTGAAGTGGCTTGGTGTGAGCTGCAGGTGGGTCCAGACAATATGAATACATGCAACAATGAGTGGTTGTAAAAACACAAATATTCAACTAAATCCTAAGAGAAATGCTCATTAAGCTCCAGACCCTGTGTCCTCATGTTACCATCATTTGTTCCTCCTCTGCTTCTGTCATCCTGAGTTCTCCAGCAGCTTCGCTGATGTGCACTTTTTGTTGGACAGGTTCCCACTGATGAAAGCATTTTTATTAAAAGAAGTAGTGGCCAAGGAGAAAGAGTATTTCAATCATATATATGGCTTTTTCAATGTCAAAAACTCACAGCGTCAATCTTTAATTCAACAAAGACCCTCTTCTCCTCGTCTTACACTCAATTTCCCAACCAGAGGGTTTTTTACCTAAAATAAATCCATGGGATGACTTTTTGTCCCGGTGCTTACAGGGAATATTGCATGTGGGCTTGTTGCAGCGACAGCTTGCTGCATCACTAATATGAGTTAATCTAATGATCAGTTTAGATCCATGTGATATGGAGATTAGTCTGCAGATGGACCTGACAGCAGCTGCTCTTTCATAGCTCATCGTGAGTAAAGTGTTTGTCCTGAGATAAAACTTCAGGACGAGATGACGTTTCATATGGAAGTATTTATCACCAAAAACAGCAGCAGTTTTTCATCAAACACAGATCGAGAAACTCCAGTTATTTCAGAAAAAGTGTCATTCGTTGATTTAGTGAAGCTCCAGATTGAGCACATTTAGATGGTTACTCTTGCAGAATGCACACTCACTGTGTCAGGTCCCAGGGAACAACTAACAAACAAAAAAAAAGGAAGCCTGACTCAATCAGTTTCTAATATCCTGATGAATTAAATCACGCTTTACATTGWGCTTATCTTGTATTGTGGCAACAGCAAAGGTCCAGTTTCCAGTGATGCAAAAATTTGAAAAATGTTGATGAGTGTAGACACACATCAGTAACCTTAAAATAAAAAATATTCTCTAATTCAGGCTTTTGAAACTTCTATCAGTGATTTAAGCTCATTTTCTTAAACCTTATTGTTACATTTTAAGACCATTTGCCATCAGTTTATTTTTCAGTGTTCTATTCATCAGGTCGATTTTTAAAGCGTCTACATTATTTACAGAWTTTCCAAATAGATTAGCACGTTTTCTGCCCTCTAATTATATTTAGATGCAGCATGCACGGTGATCCGCAGAAGTGCAGTGTGTGCTCTGCATCTGAGCAGCTTCTTAGGGGGGGGATCTAGTGATGATTCAACCATTCTGTCCCCGGAGACGAGGCTGTGCCCTTTCAAGTCTTTACGGCCGCGTGGCTCGCTCGCGAAAAGAAGCTGCTCCTTCAAAACGAATGTCTTGATTTTGCAGTCCGCAACACGGCGTGTGCGATGAGTCAGCAGGAATCAGACATATGAATCAGGAATCGATTTAAAAAAGGGATACAGTGCTGCGAGGACAGCCTGTCTTCTCTCTTCTTCATTTGGGCACACACACATCTGCATGACAAGCTGTTTGTGCAAAATCAGACGATTTGTAAACTGGTATCACTTTAGGATTTGTCTCATAGTTGCACATTCTCATCTATCTTGTTTGATGACTCTAAGAAATGCTAAAATTTAAACCCTTTGGTGTTATCGCACAGGAGTGTGAATCCTGCTGATGCAGCTCTTTGCACCAAGACACAGAGGAMAGTGGGAAGTAATGAGTTCATCTAAGGATATGATACAATCCTCTTCTTTGTGTCGACAGCAATGGGTTTTTAACCAAGCAACGGGATAAAAATGAGGTAGACTCCACAGGAAGCAGCTTGTAATATAAGACTGCAGGTCACCATGGGTGGTGAGTGAAATCTGATTCCTCCGCATCAATCCATAATCAATGCCATGAACTCGTCGCTCTCATTTGAAGCAGCCTGGTTATTTGAATTTTAACGTGTGCGTGAGGACAGTAGTAGAGAAACTCTGGAGGWCATTTGTTGTGGCTGTAGGGTTCTGTCTGCTCTGCTGACTGGAGAGAAACACTGATGTCGAGGTTATTTGTTGTCAGCTCATTTACTATTTATACAAGAGTTCAGGGAAGGCGGAGGTCAAAATATCGATCAAGTCTGAACAGATTTCCTCAGACTCACCATACACACAGAAAATTTCAGTCTTTACAACTTCCAAAGAACTGTGCACTCAGACATCATCAAAGCCTGGAGCTTGTGTTGTTGCTGTACAATAAAAAAAAAAAAAGGATGATTATTGGCCGTGGCAGGTGTGTTTTTGTCTTATAATAACCTCAAAGGAAACAGCTGAAAAACGTGTTGATTCTGATGTTTCTGAGGTGTTGTACTTTTGTTTTCTAAGCAGCATTAAAAAGTAAAAGTAAATGGGTCAGACCCTCATGTTTCCCACTCTCAAAATGCCAAAGCTGTGTTCAGTCCAAACAAGATGCTTCAGGCAATCCTCACAGATTCTCGTTCCTGAAGCAAACAGCCTGTTTCCGTTTGGTTACAGAAGGATCTGATTTCTTAGATCAGATCCAGAAAAATCAAAACAAACAGGATGATTACTGAGCTTCTTATTACTTTCAAATACTTCTTGTTAAAATAGGATGTTGACACGACATGAGTAATCTAAATTAGCCTTTTATCTGTTTTCCACAGGAACGCAAACTATCCAAAGCTGAGCGGCAGAGGTTCAAAGAGGAGGCAGAGATGCTAAAGGCTCTCCAGCACCCTAATATTGTTCGCTTTTATGACTTCTGGGAATCGCCAGTGAAAGGGAAGAAGTGTATTGTCCTTGTGACTGAGCTAATGACCTCAGGGACACTGAAAACGTGAGCGATTACATGCATGTTTAAACGACTCCAACTAGAGAGAACACCTCAACGCTAAATGACGTTTGAGCCTTTGATTGCAACAAAAAACTCAAACTTTTGAATAAAATGGAGTTGTTTCTTACAGGCAGACCTTAAGATTAGCCTTTTTTTAAAATGCTGTGTGTTCTTCTTGCAGATATCTAAAGCGCTTTAAGGTCATGAAGCCCAAAGTTCTCAGAAGGTGGTGCAGACAGATTCTGAAGGGACTCCACTTCCTCCACACGCGGGCCCCTCCGATCATTCACAGAGATCTTAAATGTGACAATATCTTCATTACTGGTCCCACAGGCTCCGTCAAAATTGGAGATTTGGGCTTGGCGACGCTGAAAAGAGCCTCTTTTGCTAAAAGTGTTATTGGTAAGTCATCGGCGAGTTGGCACAATGGAGTTGCCTAGCTGTTCAAACTGGTAACAAACTGAAAGAGAAACCAAAACCCTTGAGGAGATTTGGGGGACTTTGTTTTGCTCCCGGGGGACTTCCCTTTTTTTGATAGGTGTGGTTTATTCCAGAAAACCAAGAAACATGAAAAAAGATTGATTAGGAAACATGATACATTTCCATAGCGATTCTTCCTCAGTATATTCATGTTCATTCATTCCCAGAATCAGGACTTAAACACTAATACACACTATATTATACATTTTCCAGGTACTCCTGAGTTTATGGCCCCAGAGATGTATGAAGAGCACTACGATGAGGCTGTGGATGTGTACGCCTTTGGGATGTGTATGCTAGAGATGGCCACCTCAGAATACCCCTACTCTGAGTGTCAGAACGCTGCTCAGATCTACCGCAAAGTCACCAGCGTAAGTGAAGATGCCTGTCCGTGCTATTTCTTTTTGTAAAAGACAGAAAACAGTAAATCTGAGTGGCTTGGCTTTAAAGTGAAAGCTTCATTGTACAACAAGATATGATTGATTGACTAACTCATTTATTGTCATTGTTTTTAATTCTGTTATTTACAGTATATCTGCAGGATATCCAGTAGATTAAGCAAAAGTATAGTTCCTGAAATCTTGCAAACTGTTTGAATCAAAGCTAAATTTGCCTAAAATATGTAACGAATGCAGGAGAGATCATCAATGAGATACCTGAGAGTATGATATGTTTTCTGGCAGATATATTTTGCTCCCAGTTGTGCTCTACAGTAATTGGTCGAGTTTTAAACTTGTTCGTTGATGAGTTGAGACGTGCCATTTCCTTTTCAGGGGGTGAAACCTGCCAGCTACAGCAAAGTCAGTGATCCAGAAATTAAGGAGATTATTGGGGAGTGTATCTGTCATAGGTGGGAGGAAAGGTAAGTAAATGAACCAGGATCTCAGACTGAATATTAGTTTATGCAGGTGATAGAGGTCGACCATTCTCCTCGTTTTGTTTCTGTATCTGCAGCGTGACGTTAATGCCACTATTTGGCGCTGAGCTTCCGTTGCGTAGTGCTTTGTTACTGTAAAGACCTGTATTGCAGAAGAGTAGCTGGCGTTTGTGTATTTTCTGCAGGTATTCCATCAAGGACCTCCTGAATCATGCCTACTTTGCGGAGGACACAGGTGTGAGGGTCGAGCTTAACGAGGAAGACGATGGGGAAAAGTCCTCCATCGCTCTAAAGCTGTGGGTTGAAGATCCTAAAAAGCTGAAGGGGAAATACAAGGACACGGGTGCCATCGAGTTTACTTTTGACCTGGAGAATGAAGTCCCAGAAGTAGTGGCTCAAGAAATGGTAAATCAATGAATGTTTCTGATAATTAATACTTTAATCATTTTAGAATCAGTCGTTTTCTTTTTGATTAAGGTGGTTATTATCAATAATTTATTATTTCTTTTTGTACTTTTTACTGCTGGGTAAAAACTTTTTGATAAATATTTTTTAAATTACATTGCTTTCGTTGTTTCAGGAAAGCACAGAAACAAACTTGTGTCATGTTGTTATTTCATAGACAAGCTACCTACATAGAAAAATTTGTCTGGCCCAAATCTGGCTCACATAATACACTAACATTTGGCCCAGATACCACAAAGAATAATGGCCGTTTGGTGGCCCAGATGGTCCAGGCCAGCACCACGTAAACCAAACTACAACCAGGCCAGWTGTGYCATCTCAAAATCAATGCCATCATTGCCAGACTTGGCCCACATCTGGTTGATAAACTACTTACCATGCCAGCAGTGGCAGATGACAKCAGATCTGGCCCACACRTATCTAAGTTATTGTATGGCAGTGGTTCTCAATTATTTCCTGTCAGCCCCCCTACCTCTCTCCCCCAGGGAATATACATTTTTACTACACCTTCCCTTTTGAGAACCTGATATTTAATTAGATTATTTATCTGTGCAAACCATTGTATGACTTCCTGACACCTTCTGTCACCTTCCTGACACATTCTGTCTCACCTGATAATTGTAGGGGAAACATTGAATTATGTAAAAGAATACGTATCTTTTACCTTTACYCGCCACTATTTGAGAAGCACAGTTGTACGGAAAACAGTAGTGTCTAGTCATATAACCCAATGTCTCGAGCTCCTTCAGTGCCAGACTGCTGCATCTGAGGTGCACAAAAGAGCGTTATCACAGATCCTTCCTCCCAGCAGCTGTCAGACTTTATAACCAGCACCACYCCCCAAAATCACAATAAGTGTTTACAAAAATCACAATAAAAGTCACAAAAATCACAAGTGTTTACAAACCTGCTGCTGCACTGAACAATCATTTGCACTACTACTCTGCTGTAATTGCACATCTGTGTTTTTTGTCTGCATTGTGATACATCACTTTACAATTATTGTTCTGTTGACATTGTTTTGCTCTGAAAACAGGCAATTTCTGATTCCTAATGTCAGATTCTGACAGCCTACTCTTTCTGAAACAAAACATATATTTTTCTATCCTTGCACAATTCTTTATATTATATATTTTATTATTAGTAGTCGTATCATGGCTAGTCAGTGTTAATTTTGTTTTGTGTGCACTATCTATAYTTTGTAAAGAAACTAGTGTGTGAACCTCTGTAAAGATGCTGCTGTGACACCTGAATTTCCCCTCTGCGGGACAATAAAGGCTATTCTATTCTATTCTATTCTATTCTATTCTATTCTATTCTATTAGTGAAAACTAAACTTCATTTTGAAACAACTTTTCTCACAGTCACTGGTTGGGTCTCCACGGACTCCGTATAAAGAGTTATATATATATATATATTTTAGGTCTGATGTAAAGTGAGTTGTTGTGTGATTTGTTGTTTTGTAATGACAGTGCATTGAGAAACCAGACAGATGATCTCTGCTCTTCCCTGCGAACATCTGGAGAGGCAGTACAATGCAGCTCTGTGTAGTTTGTGGAAATAAATAGCTGACTTGTTACGCAAAATGTTGAGTATAAAACTCATTCTGAGCTGCAACATCTTACCTGTCACCTGCAGGTGGAATCCGGATTTTTCCTGGAATGTGACGTGAAGATAGTCGGGAAGTCCATCAGAGATCGCGTTGCTTTGATCAAATGGAGGAGAGTGCGGACTGGCTCCCCAAACGCAAACAGTGAAGCCGCCGGGAAGAAGGTGCAGCAAAACCTACTGCAGGTTCCTGGTACTGGTGCACCTGAGGAAGTCACGTTGGCCCCTGTGGATTACGAAGACCAAGAAATTCTGACCTGTATTGTGCCTGTCATCACATCTGCCATAGGTGAGAGACTAAAAACAGTTCAGCYCCTTCCACAAGCTAGTAAAACTAGTATTTTACAACCTAAAAATGTCAGAAATATTGTCTGAGTAACGGTCAATTAAAGCAGTCACACTACATGTCCCAGCAGTTAAATTAGAAATTACTCCATGTCTTCCCATCCTGCAGAGGACATCATAAATCATAATGTTTATTTACTTTGTTATTACAGATGATAGTGGAGTAAACTCTGCCATGCAATTAGATGGTCTAAGTAATCAGCAAAATGGCATATACCAGTCAGTTCCAGAGCCCATTTCCACATCTCAGACGGTCTGCAGTCCTCCTCAACAAGCCGAGCCTCAGATCCATCAGGGACCTTCCTATCAACCCACAGCACAGGCTTCACATGAAAACAACACACAGCCAACTACACAGTCACACCCAGGAGGCTACCAGCCACCCACAGGTACGCTGCAGCCTGGGGCCTTTCAGAAACCTGCAGCACAACTGCACCAATGTCAACCAGTGAGTAAAAACAATTAGATTTTATCTGAAGCTGTAATTCTCTGTTAAAATGTCATTTTTTCTGTTGTTTCCTGCAGTAACACACGTCTTATTTTCTTTTTGTTTGTTTTAAATGACACCTGATCAGCGTCACAACAGTGAGCCCTTTGTCTGCCATGAGAAGCTGCTCGTCAATGAGAGCACAACGTGTTTTAGGCGAGGCAGCGTCTCCTCGATTGAGATGTTAGATTGTAGGACTTACTTTGCCTCTAAAATGATAAATCAAACTGCTTGCTTGTGTACGACACAGAAGCCAGCATCCTCTGATAGCTCAGAGAGTCCAGTGCGTGCTGCAGATTACTCAAACTGTACCCAGAATGCCTCAGCGTTATCTCCTCTTCTACCTTCACGTCAGCGCWCTCCTCATGACTCAGCAAGTTGTTTTAATTCCCCTCACTCTGCTCTGAATTTACAACCACCCCCAGAGGTCTGTCTGAGTGTCTCACGCAGCCCGCAGCCTCACCGCTGCAAAGCTTGCACGTCTCTTCTCTTCAAGGACAGAACTAAAGGGGGAGGATCGTTGGGCCACACACACAAACACGCTCCCGTTTCATCCGCTCCTCGTTCACCTAGATCCTCTGCAGCCGCTCTACCTCACGCTTTAGCCTCAGCTCCTGCTTCGTCGCCGAACAGTTGGCCGACGACGGTCACCCAGCTTTCACGCCGCTCCTCATCCTCTCGAGCCGCGTTCCCGCAAAGTTACTGTGAAAGTGGAGACCTCAGCCTTCTCAACTATTGTCTCCATCACATTGTTAGTCGCAGGACCAGCTCTCCCACCCTCTACGATAGAAAAGATGTTAATCAGCCAGTGCCCAGCTACAGGGAGACAGCGGGTACTTTTGTCTCCACGWCTGAGCACACTGACAAGAGTCGGAGCCTGGATGCTCCCATCTGCCATACCCCTAATCTTAACAGGAAGCTGCCGTCATCACAACTTTACAACAAATGCAGAGCAGATCCACTGGTATGTTAAAGAAGGCAGTTTTATGTAGGTTAAATCCTGCATAGCAGCAGCCTGCAGTATCTTTTATGATGTCGCCAACTGCATAGCTCCTTTAACACCCATTTTCTGCTCCTGCTTAGTTCGCAGTAATTGTCCCATTTTTTTCTTTTAGAGAACATAAACAGATAATAGCAAATGACCAAAGCTACAATTTCCCTTTCTCATTGTAACCTCTCATAGGGAACCACATACAGTAAATCCCTAAAACACTCCATTTGTCACAGCTTTTGCTTTAAAACACTAAATGCTTTGTTTATTTTTAGACAGTTATATCCAAGAAAACAGCTTTAWTGAACGTGGTCTCATCTCTGTGTTTCTGACAGACGGGTGCTGCTCCAGCTCTGTCAGCCCCTGCTYTGCAGCAGAGTAGACAGATAGTGCAGAGCGTCCTGTCTGCAGCCCCACCTCTGCAGACCGCCCAGCCCAGCCAGGAGCAGGTACTGCATGCGTCAAACTGGGACTGACCTCTGGTGACACCTGGAAAGAGGGGAACGCACAAACCAGAATTAAAAGTCAAAATATAKAGATAGTCAATGCAGCCCTGCCAGGCAATGTTATATACATACATCTGCCATAATATTATGACCAGCCAGCTCAGTTTACATGGGAGATGTCTTGGCAAGTAGAGCCTGTAAAAAGCAGAATGAAGAGTTTTATTTCTTCAACATGACATTGTGACAAAACAGCAGTAAAACAATTTCATCAATGGTCCTAATGTTATGGCTAATTAGCATAGCCTTGCTTGTGTGGAAGGTTTCCCACTCTTGACAAAATCCAACKCTGTTGGTTTCCCTAATTGTTTTACTTAGCAAGTCAAAGATGCTGTTTTCCTACATTATATTTCAATATTAAATATTGAATATGAAGTATTTTCTTATTAAACTCCACCAAAGAGGAAATTAATGTGATAATATACTAAATTTAGTGTCATCAACTAAGTAAGAACATAGGAAAAAAAATTGTATAGGTCCTCTGGACGGGTTCTTCTTTAATGAAACGTTTCGTCTCTCTTCCAAGAGACTTCTTCAGTCTGAGAGTTTCAGGCAAAATTCAGGCTTTTGAGTCCTGCCTCCAGGTGACTGATACTCACATCACATGGCCATCATGTGATGTGCCATGTGATGTGAGTATCAGTCACCTGTGAACGATGGCCATGTGATGTGAGTATGAGTCACCTGTGAACGATGGTCATGTGATGTGAGTATCAGTCACCTGGAGGCAGGACATAAAAGCCTGAATTTTGCCTGAAACTCTCAGACTGAAGAAGTCTCTTGGAAGAGAGACGAAACGTTTCATTAAAGAAGAACCCGTCCAGAGGACCTATACAATTTTTTTTTTCCTTTGATTTTTTACCTGGATTACTGAGATGCATCAGGACATACATACATACATACATACATACATACATACATACATACATACATACATACATACATACATACA